CATGTCATTCTCTATCCACATGTGCAGCATTACAAATGATTTATGCAAACCACGGCCACCAGAGGTCATGCAGTACTTTATTTCATTTCAGGCATTTTAATCATTTGATTTATTAAGCAGGTATTGGATATGACGACACGATGTTCTTATTCACCATCTAAGTTATGGCGAGTAAAATAATGTAAAATACTGATTCTTCTATTTTTTAGATAATTAAAGATTAAATTTATGAATACGTAGACAAAACTTGGCATGGTCATCGAAATATTTGGTTCATTAGTCTGGGTCCTCGAATATTGTAATAAGATCGCCGCACAGCTTCACTTGCCACGGGAGAGGCCAACGAAAGTTGCGTTCAGCTCCCCCTGGACCGCAAGTAAAGGGATCGACACTTTTTCTGACTGTATAATCAAGGGTTACTGTTGTGTTGATAAAATTGTGACTGTAGTTTTGTTTTACTTGTTAAGGACTCGAGTTTACTTTTACTTGTTTTCTTAAGTATACGGTACATACATTATATGTACATGGTCACTTCCTATATTTCATCTGCTTTTCCTACCTTTCAGATGAGTATATCACGTGGTACGGATTTATTTGTTGATTTGTTCTATTGTCCTTTTGTTAATTTAATTCATCCTCTTTTATATGACTATATTTCTATATTTGGTCTAATAATATGACCTGCGAAAGCTTTTGAAGTCAACGTTCACGACCGTTGGGCCACGCTGATAAAATCTATTTGGAAAGCTGTTAACGTAAACAATGGCCGACGTCTGATACCTTCGCATTTACCGGATTATTGTCCGGTTTCCTTGCTGAATCTAATATGGCATAGACTTCTTAATATTTACTGAGCGTATATTACACCGATAACAGAGACAGATATAATTTCTAACAATAATGATGTTAATGATAATCTGTTCTTAAGACTGATCTGTATACTCTCAAATGCACACACAGGCACGTGCACAAATGTCGTACCGTGTACACAAAATGAACACAGCCACAGTAAGATTTGAAATTGGATCCAACTCGTCAGAAGTTGATCATCACACTAATATTCCATTAATACCTTTGATGATGAACTCATCGAAGGTACGATACGTGAATTCGATACGTTATGGGCAATTTCAAATCTTATTGTGGCTTTGCACTCTTATCCTGAAATGTCCTTCATTTCGCTTTTCATTGTCTTTAGAGTCTCATTTCTTCCCTCCTTTTGAATTCAAGATTATATGCAACCTCGGCTCCCCGCACGCGCGCAGGAGACTTGCTTCACAAGGCGAGACACACGAAATGGTTGCAGCCTTCGTGCCACGCGCTCGCCGGGGCAGGCAGCGGCAGACGTGCCCGCGATTCCCCGAAAAGACTACCTGGCCACCGAGGAGCCGCGGGGAAGAGCCCTCTGCCAAGGACGCGCGGTGGCAAAGTCGCCCTTATGGCCACCTGCCCGATGGGGATCAATGTACTGCGTGAATGTGTAAAATCCTGTTTGCGCGCGTGAATGTATGTAGATGGATAGATAGGCAGAGCGATAAATACATAAAATGTTTGCATGTACGTATTCACACTCATATGATATATGTGTTGCGGGTATATGTATATATGTATTGATACATACATCCATAAATATCTATTTACCTGTATCTATATCTCTATATATATACACATATAGACACGCATATTCATATGTATGTATGTATATATATATATCCATATTTATATGCATATCTATAAATATACATATTCATATACATACATACATACATACACACATATATATATATATATATATATATATATATATATATATATATATATATATATATATATATATACAGTGAACCCTCGTTTTTCGCGGGGGTTACGTTCCAAAAAGAACCCGTGATAGGCGAAATCCGTGAAGTAGTAACCTTTATTTTTTTTTTTTACAATTATTATACAATGAAATACTCTACGATACATTGAAACCAAAGAACAAAACCTTTTTACAGGACCAAGCATTTGTTTAACAAATAAAAGTACTGTATAATTTTTTTTTTTTTTTTTTTTTTTTTTTTTATAAATAACTACTGTACTGTAAAATAATAATTTTAACCATCAATACGATCTGAAGGCTTCATGGGTTTTAGAGAAAATTTGCAAACTTAAATTTGGCAAGCTGTTTTACGTACATGTACATATTAAACCGTAACGTTATTGACACAGGTAGAGAAGAAGCGGAGAGACTGTTTAGCCAATCAGAATGCAGAACACAATGCACGCGAAAGGTGAACGGCGTTATAGCGAGGGTTCACTGTCCACTGGTTCGATACGGTGCATCGGGAATCACTTTGGGAGATCCTGAGACTGAGAGGAATTCCATCAAGGATTATTGGACTTATAGCAAGTCTGTATACTGGTACTGAAAGTGCTGTAAAGTGTGGTGGGGGCCTGTTGAGCTTCTTTCCTGTTAGTGCAGGAGTGAGGCAAGGCTGTGTTCTTGCACCAACACTTTTCA